GTTGTTGATGGCTCTCTTAGCCGACCACAACGGTTTCTCTTTTTAAGGTGTGTTAGTTCCCTCCTTCTTATCGTTTGGTACACTGGATCAATCTCTATGTGCATGTTCATCGAATGCTGCGTTGAGTAACATGCTTCGAGGAACTCTCTTGCTTTCCGTATCTCTCCTTCTGCTAGGACTTTTGTGTTGTTCCAATCGAAGTGATGTCCTTCTTCGTCTGTATGTATTGAAATCAGTGAGAGAGCGTAATGGTTCTTACAAGCTCTCTTATGCTCTTGTATTCTTGTTAACAGTCGTCTTCCTGTTTGACCCACACAGTTTTATCACAATCTTGACATCGTATCTTGTAAACAATATTTCGTGTGTTACGGGTCTAGCTTTGGGTTTCGACAGACTTCTCCTCAATGTGGCAGTTGGTTTGTGGGCCACTGTAAGACCGTGCCGTTTGAATAATCTTGCTGTCATCTCGGAGATGTTCTTTACATAGGGTAGAACGATTCTCTTTGTTGTCATCTGATCAGGCTGAGGGGTCGTAACTTTGTTGTTTAGACATCGCCGGAGGAAGCTATTTGGATATCCATTTAGATGAAATGATCTGAACAGATACATCTATTCTTTTCATTATGCCTCAAGAGTGCTGCAATGTGTTTCAATTCTACGAAAGAGAGTTCGCACGCAGCTTGTTTTATGACATTTCGGGTGATTGCTGGAATAGTTTAAAATCTGGTCGGTGTGTGTTTCTTTCCTGTAAACTGATGTTTGTAACTCTCCGTCAATCGTCCTGGTGACTAACACATCCAAGAATGGGAGCTGGTTATCTATTTCAGACTCCATCGTAAAATGAATGTCTTCAAGGATGTTATTGAGTAACTGGTATGCAACCTCTACTTGACTACGTTTCAGTATCACGAATGTATCATCAACGTATCGGATCCACAACTTTGGGTTGATTATGGGCAGTGCATTACTATCTCTGCATTACTATCTCTGCCACGAGCCCTGACACCGGGAATCCCATTGGCGCTCCTTTCACCTGCTCATAAATCTGTCCATCAAAATCAAAGTAGGTCGCGAGGCATAGGTCAAGCAGCTTGCACAGATTTTCAATCGTCAGCTTTCCGATTGCTTTCTCACTTTGGTCCAGCCGTTCGGTGATTGCTTGCTTTGCGGTCTCTAAATTGACAGACGTAAAGAGTGCGGTCACGTCGAACGATACCATTAACCCACAAAATCCTCCAAGCGACGAGCAGTTCGGAGCGTTTCACGCATGCAGACATGCCTCTACACGACAGCAACTGACTTTTCTTCATGATTGTTTGCGCAATGATACTCTTCCCCGCAGCGTCAGCTACAGACCTCCGATTAACCATCCACAAGCATGGACAGTTGCACGACAATTTGGGAAACACATGGTGCGGATCATGATCACGGACGCCCACAACCGTATCAGGAAATATGAGCGATGTATCAAGGAGCATCGAACTAGTTGTCTGAGAGTGATGGGACAACAGTTAACAGAGCAACTCAGCTTAGCAATTGAACGCAGAGTGGAGAATACTAGAAGGAGGAAACAGGAGACATTTAGAAACAAATATTTAAAATTAACTCACGACAATAACGAAGCTAACAAAGAAAACTGGATTCGAAATCTATCCAATAGGCCACTTTCCGTAGCAGAAAAGCAAGTCCTCACCAAAGGGCTCAACTACAATTTAAAGGATGCTATGACTACAGAGTTCCTATCCGGATTCGAAAGCGCGATCCAGTCCAGCGGGTTTGACGATGATACGCAAAAACAACTAAGATATACAATTATTCCAGTTGTAGCACGTAACAAACAGTACAATTCCCTATCTCAACAAGCACGGGATGCAATAAAAGCCTTGAAAGCGGATGAATCCATTGTCATATTACCTGCGGACAAGGGACGCGTGACGGTTATATTGGATGAAGAGGATTATGTTAAAAAAGCGAAACAGCTTCTGAGTGACACAACAACCTACCGCCGCATCGAAAACGATCCAACAACGCAACTGACAAACAGAATAAACAGAACGTTGAAATTGCTCCAGGAACGGAACCAGATCACAAAGGAAGACCGTGCTAGAATGATGGCCCACGATCCGAACATAGCACAATTCTACGGGCTTCCAAAGATACATAAAGACGATGTACCACTAAGACCAATCGTATCACTCCCAGGCACACCTACGTACAACCTAGCGAAAGAGTTGTGGAGACGTCTCAAGCACCTAACAATGGGATCACAGCACTTTATACATAGAGCACAGCAATTTCTGGAGAAGCTCAAAGGCATCCGAGTAGATCATGACGAGTTAATGGTATCGTTCGACGTGACCGCACTCTTTACGTCTGTCAATTTAGAGACCGCAAAGCAAGCAATCACCGAACGGCTGGACCAAAGTGAGAAAGCAATCGGAAAGCTGACGATTGAAAATCTGTGCAAGCTACTTGACCTATGCCTCGCGACCTACTTTGATTTTGATGGACAGATTTATGAGCAGGTGAAAGGAGCGCCAATGGGATTCCCGGTGTCAGGGCTCGTGGCAGAGATAGTAATGCAGAAACTGGAAGAGAACGCACTGCCCATAATCAACCCAAAGTTGTGGATCCGATACGTTGATGATACATTCGTGATACTGAAACGTAGTCAAGTAGAGGCTGCATACCAGTTACTCAATAACATCCTTGAAGACATTCATTTTACGATGGAGTCTGAAATAGATAACCAGCTCCCATTCTTGGATGTGTTAGTCACCAGGACGATTGACGGAGAGTTACAAACATCAGTTTACAGGAAAGAAACACACACCGACCAGATTTTAAACTATTCCAGCAATCACCCGAAATGTCATAAAACAAGCTGCGTGCGAACTCTCTTTCGTAGAATTGAAACACATTGCAGCACTCTTGAGGCATAATGAAAAGAATAGATGTATCTGTTCAGATCATTTCATCTAAATGGATATCCAAATAGCTTCCTCCGGCGATGTCTAAACAACAAAGTTACGACCCCTCAGCCTGATCAGATGACAACAAAGAGAATCGTTCTACCCTATGTAAAGAACATCTCCGAGATGACAGCAAGATTATTCAAACGGCACGGTCTTACAGTGGCCCACAAACCAACTGCCACATTGAGGAGAAGTCAGTCGAACTCCAAAGCTAGACCCGGAACACACGAAATATTGTTTACAAGATACGATGTCAAGATTGTGATAAAACTGTGTGGGTCAAACAGGAAGACGACTGTTAACAAGAATACAAGAGCATAAGAGAGCTTGTAAGAACCATTACGCTCTCTCACTGATTTCAATACATACAGACGAAGAAGGACATCACTTCGATTGGAACAACACAAAAGTCCTAGCAGAAGGAGAGATACGGAAAGCAAGAGAGTTCCTCGAAGCATGTTACTCAACGCAGCATTCGATGAACATGCACATAGAGATTGATCCAGTGTACCAAACGATAAGAAGGAGGGAACTAACACACCTTAAAAAGAGAAACCGTTGTGGTCGGCTAAGAGAGCCATCAACAACAGCCGGGGCAAAACCATCCCACTGATCGTAGAGTTGGGCGGACCGGTGAAGGTCATGAGGCACAGATCGAGGCCAGTTCAAAAGTCACTTCCTAATCGATCACAAATCGACGAACAAGTCAGCGGATTAGATTGGACCCAGCAGCGCACTGACGAAGTCACCTCGCTTGGTGATGAAACGTTTGCATCCCAACTCCGATGAATAACAGGACTAAGGCGCACGACGGTGGGGCCTTAAATCGACCGTTGCCATTTCACTGGGATTTCTACGTTATCTGCAGCTGATTCAACAGTCTTCATTGGATATTATTGACATACTCTTCGGTTATACTTTTTTCAAGTCACTGGTGCCGCATTGCGCTGATTTTTAAAACCTACTTTGGGATGCTGCGCGTAACTTTATCAGAGGCCCGTTTGCCAGATTGGGATCCGACATTGTAACGTCAACAGAGAGCAAATGCCAACGATTTAGTTTTTTAACGGAAGTTATTACATATATATACGAGACGGTATTCGAGTGACACCTGTGCACCCGACGCCAATATTTCCATTGATGAGTTTGCATTTTAATTCATCCGCGGTAATTATTGTAAAATGCGCCCTTTCGGGTACATAAAGCGTAAACTGACTTGAGTGAATTAAAATTATATACACTTCACTACTCTCTCTCTCTATCGATAACTCTAACTGCAAACGGGAAGAGACAGCGCCCATTGACTGCATCGCTGGGAAGGAACTTCATCCACTATCGGATGCAGTTCCAAACTGAGGATGGGTATCCAAATCCAACTACACCTAGAGTACCCCGAAACACAAAAGCGAGTGGGTTTAGAGTGGCAAAGCGGAAAATAGACGTGATAACAAAAATGAAAGAAACTAACGAAGTTTACGATGAATCAGAATAGAGTCTGAAAGATTAATGTGAATGGAGGACTGGTGTGAGCATTGTTACGACGCACGACGCCTATGCAAACGATGGTTTGATCCACCGGTCAAATTGGTTGGTGGCTAAGCAGAAGTAGAGGTGTGCCTCGAATTTCTTGAGAATAAATGTTTGTCCATTTAAGTATTTAGGGGGAAGAGATCTGCGACACAATAGATAAACATTCCCCTCTAACAATGACACGGAGATCGTTGAGATGATTCGTACGTACGTGACCACATTTCTGGTATAGACAACCAGTAGGATATTCAGACCGTTTCGGATTAAGAGCGAAAGAACATTGCTAGTTGTGTGCTTCGAGGCTGTCTGAGGGAAGTCTAAAAGCTTGTGCCGACAACTGTGTGAAACCATGATGGCTACTTAGATGACAGCGGTGGCGCATAACACAGAGCCTTCTGTAAGGCTCACCAATCATTGTGACAGGGAGTGGAGATCTGGGATTGCCTCATGTGAAATGATGCAAGTCCGCCCAACCCGTTGCGAAAAAACAACAACCACAGGGGTGAATGCTTTGAACCAAAAAGGGAAAACACAACAGTAGATTAAAAGGTGTGTCGTACTATTATGCAAAAAACACAATCCCATCCAGTGTAACGTACGCAAAGAAACAAGGAGGGAACTTGTAAACAAATTACTCGACTCGTTTGACTTTGAACAAGTCATTCAGGTGGAGGGTGCAAATGTGAAGAGACAATTGTCAAGTTAGTACAAGGGAGGCGGAGTTCGTACTTATTCCGAGACAAAAACAAGATTAAAAGTGATGAAAGGAGGAAGTACAGGTAATGAAAGCGTTTTTTTCGGTTCAATTGAGATAAAAACCAATTTCTTTTGTGGCCCTCAGTAATACAGAACGTAGTTCATCCTCTGACTGGTACTCTGGCAGCTTCAGGTAGTGCACGCAAGTGTTTACACTGGGAAATGCGCCGGTGCCGAGTTCTTTGCGAACCACACGCAACCGAGGTTGAAGATTTTTCAATCCACCTGGAGGAAGACTAGAACAGCCGGTGGTGAATTGGAGGAATGCACGACGCTCCAGTAGATCGAAATTGCTGAGTATATTGATAAGCATCTGATATGTGGGAGACTGATGTGTGAATCCAAAGCAAGGCACCGTGTAAGCCAAAAGATCCTCCCTGGTCCACTGGGTGACCGAGTCGCCGGCGATCAATTGCCCCAGTTCAGTTTCGGTGAATAAAGCGAGCCAACTTAGAGGGAGCACTTTTTCGAAGCCGTCTAAAGTGTAGCAAGTGAATTAGGCAAATTGGAGATAGAGAAACACGATCAGAACATCAAACGAAAAGTGAAAATGACCTTAAGGTGGGTATTAAAGTCGATTTGAATGTTTTAGGCTATCGAGGAACGATGAGATAGCCATAGTAAAGCCAGATAGAGTGAAATATATACAATCTTGCGAAGATAAGTCCATGAAACGAGACCGAGCAGGGCAGGTTCCCAGGTAGATACGCACATCTATTAAGTGAGCAAACCATAAGCCCGGGACCGAGGGGCATAAAAAAGGCATAAAATTAAGCACTCAAGCAAGTAGCACTCGCTGCAATGAAGTATAGTACACAGTAGCTAACAGTACACTTAATCGACGTAGGCATCAATCTAATGAGGGTTATGAAAACCGCAATGGAAGTGGTTACTATATAATTGGACCGATTAATGAGCACCGAGATGGGTGATAAATGGTGGACAATTGAAGACTGATGATACATCGCATAGTTCGGCTATAAGAAAGGAGACTACATTATTGCAACACCCATCCAGATTAGATGACCGTGATCAGTACTGTCGGGATCTTTATAGCACCAGCTAGATAGCGAAGAAAGGATTAATACACAACCCGTTAAAGATACATAGCTGCCTATCCTGTAAGTGGATAGGAGCCCTTCTGAGTCGAGATGCGGTCAGTAAGATACCATAGGTCAATACAGATGGCGCTAACACAGTATACCCACGTTTTGCGGGAACTCACAGATCACGCGGAAATTGAGTTGGTTATTGTTTAACATAGCAAGCATTACTTGCGAAATGTTGTTGCAGATGTGAGAGAACATATCCTCACAGATGAACTGCAACTAAGTGAAGAAACATTATGGCCAAGAAGTTCTGACTAGAGTGACTAATTAAACGATGGCTTGGGTCAGTGAAACAGCACCAGTAGAAAAAACTAAAAGTGGAGGTTCAGAAACAAATGATGGACGAAATGGTTCCTCGAACATTGAAGTTACACACTTTTGATAGTAACCATTTGTGATTTCAACCAATCCCATTAGGTGCATCATGACGTGAAGGAGTAGAGTGAGGAACTTATGGAAGTTACTGTGCACAGCAAGCTGAAAGGTGTCCGGTGGAGCAGAAGAATGAATCTGCCATCCTAATGGTTGTTACTCAACACGCGTCTACACTGCCATCGACCAATCGGAGAATTCTGTACTCATTAGCTGTAACACATACACTGCTCCCAAATTCGTGGATCGATTCCGCGAACCTTCTCCATCGATCCGCACACAGTGTTAAAATATGTGTGATGTCAGGAGAAGTTCAGAGACAAGAGACTCCAGTCTGCAAAAAAACATCCTGGAATGCCACGTAGTAGTGAGTGATTGCGAAAGCAGAAGTAAATGTATTGCGTACCGAGACGGTGAATAAATTGGCTGAGGCTAAACCAAACATAAAAATGAAAGCATTGTTATGCTGCTACACTTGCCGCATTGATTACGCACTCATCTACTTAATATGTTCTCCGGTAGCTATGGGTCGTCTTACTAAATCGTTGATCTTCTGGCATATTGATGGCCGATTCCGCCTCAATCTCTGTCAGCGAAAGGGTCTTGTGAGTACCCAAAGCAAAGAAGAGATGGACCACTTACATCAGCCATCTCGGATCCGATATCCCTGTATCAAAATGCATCCGCATAGCGCCCAAGGTATCGTGATGTTACGCTACAATGTTGATGGTGTCCGTGGTCACCGATGTGCTTGACTTACAAATGTTACTTCGAACACTCACAGAGTTTCGGCGCAGAGGTGAGTTCCCATAACCCCTCAAAGATGTGTACGGATCTGCACTGCCCAGCCCGCGTATCGATATGACAGCTGATAGCAAGGTTGACGGCAAGCATCCATCGTAAACCTAGAACTTTATTGCGATGCTGGGCAAGCTGGACTCAACCAGTGGACAAGTGCATCTCTACTCCGGCTAATGAAAACGTTGGACAGTGTCTGAAGGACTGGTGCCAGAGTAAGTGAGTGATAAGAGTGGAAAGTCATAGTTATAGTGGGCGCATGGCGTAAACGATTCCGGTAAGTGAGGAACGACCCATATCTCAACAGGTATTCGAGATACCGTGCCACGAAACGGATGCAACTTTTAGTACGAATAAGCCAAAGTAGTAATGCCAGAGAACATGGTCAAGCGCTCAAATCCCGGCATCACAACAAGGGTACAGCAATCATCTGGGTGTTGGAAAGCAATAAACATCAGGTCGATTGTTTGAAGGGGAAATAAATCCCGTTTCCCATTCCAGTAGTTTCATGATGTTACAAACAGAAAGTAGTGAGCAAGCTTGTTTTCAAAGGATCATCATCAGGCTGATACAATCACAACTATGCAGGTCCAAAATGAACACGTGAGTCATAAGCGTCAATAAACTAAAACTTCTCATCAATAAGACTAAGTGATTAGTCCGACCTATGTGAAGTCGGGGGGAATGGCGTGATAGATATGAGTACCCGTGTTAGGCAGTGATCAGGGTACACAGAGAGCACGCAGGAAATTTTTCTGTGCACACAAGTCTAGGTTATGCAGCCGAACTGCGATTGCTTCAGCAGTTGACAGCAGGCGGTATCTGACAGCGCGTGTGTGTGGCGGCCTGGTACACAGTAGGTAGGTTGGAATGCAATATTTGAGTTGGTTTTGTGGTTAGAATCCACCAAGTATGATAACAGTGCACTCGTTACATTCTTCCTCATACCGCTGTAGAGTCAAACTGGACAGTGCTCTCGAGCTCTTACGGATAGTCGCATGGTCGTTTTCCAATATACCTTGCTGGACACAAGCAAGAGAAATTGTACACACAAGGAAATTTGCGACTGCGGTATCCTGTCTTTGAGCTACTGGCCAAGATTAGTGTTGAAGTGAACTATACGCGCAAGTCGGCCGCAAAGTACGTTTTGACTGTGGCTAGAGTAAGCCTTCGGGTGGTTCGCTCCGCTGTCGCGTCACCATTGAACGGTGACAATAAGTATGTTAAGTGGTTCCCTGCGAAAACAGATGTCACTTTTAGTACTTGAAGTTCAATGTGTTTCTGGATAAATTTTTCTGCATATCCATTGCCTTCGAAATCGCTTCAGAGGAGGCTTAGGTCACCAGAAGGCATATCTTCTGTGCATATTTGTCTCGCTCTCTCTGTGGAACAACGGACAAAATAATGTTTCTGGCTGATTGGAAGGAAACTACGAAAGTGGGTGTAATGTACATTCGAAGTTCTCTTTCTGTACACTCTCCTGCGCATTGTCCCGTCTGATGCCTTATTGATCTGGACGTCTAAAAAGGCCAATATTCACAACTATGTATACAGACAATGTGCCTTCAGACGTATAGCAAACAGAAAGAAAATAAGCACACAAAAGAAAACAAGAAAGACATTTTTGGGGCTTCACACACGCAGTTTTTAGTTTAGGTTAATTAACAGATAAAACGGCACAACGACACTGATGTCTGTTAAGTGCCTTCACATCCAGCGCTTGTAGTCACGGGAATTCCGAGTCACGTGGAACCAACCCGGGAGGCGCGCAGCTACGAATGATGTTAAGCTTGAGGCTACTTCCGTGATGCACCTGCTCCACACCAGAGTCAGCACTCTGTAGTTCGAGGATAAACGTTATGTTGTTATGCGCGGAGTTGAAGTGGGCAGGCAGATCTTCAATACACACCCCATAATCCGCGACACAAGATGCCATCTACTTATCGACCATACTAAACCACACTGTTGATGGGCTCCTTCAACTGGTTGCTCTCCAAGTTGCGCATGAACACGTCCGCGAGTAACGGGCTGAACGTCGAACCCATGGCCACTCTGTCTATTTGTCGGTACAGTGATCCATTAAACTGGAGGTTTCTCGTACTTGTCGGCAGCAGTTATCTCGGTCGACCTTGTGGGATGCCGAAGTTGATGGTGTGCAAATGGATGAACTGACATACATAAGCTACGGTTCCTTCCAATGGAACATTGGTTAAAAGGGACACCACGTCTAATGAAGAAATCTTTCACCCGGTTTATTCAAGGTGCTTCATTGAGTCGAGAAAAGCAAAGGTGTCCTTGAGACTGTGCCTGGATACGGCTCTGCGGACCGGTTCAAGCCATTTGACAAGCCACTTTGCGGTGGAATGACACGGCGAGTTGCACATGTCTAGCACTGGTCTTAGTGGCAGCCCTTCCTTATGCACCTTGGGCAGGCCGTAGTTTTGGAATCACCGTTCCACGCGGTTTGGTGTATTCGACTACATCCGAGTCGACTATACGTTCTTGTCTTAAGCAAACGCATAAGTTTCGTTATGGACTTCTCGATTGAATGCGTCTTGTCAATCTTGTTATCCAACCTACGAAATTTCGATCCATCAGTAAGGATGGCAAGCATCTTTCTGATATAGTCTGACTTAAACATCAGAACAATCCCGGTTCCTTTATACAGTCTAGACAACATTACGTTTTCGTTTCGCTTAAGTTGTTTAAAGGCGTCTAGATGTTCCTTCTTCAAAAGACGCTTGGTATATGGTTTACAACTTAGATATTCGTAACAGGTATTGATAAGTGCCGACTTATACTGTTCAGCTAAAACAGCTGATAACGACGTAAGTGTAAGTACTTGGGAATAGATATTCTGAAAGTGATCCTCTAAATCGAACTGTTTAACGTGAGTACGTGGGCAAGCAATGCGGGTCAAGCGAAACAGCCTGGAGTAGAACCTTGTCTAATTGAAGGGAGAAGAAATTGTGGACGTATCTTTCAGGATTAGGTGGAAATAAGTTTCGCGGATTGTTTGCATTGTGCTGTCACTACAGTGAGGCAATTCGTAATTCTACCTGCTGTGCTGCGATTTGCTGAACGTAGGATTCGACTGCATCGTGCTCCTGAACACACAGATACTCAAGTGCGACGAAAGAAACGCATCGATTAAGCTAGAGCTCGTCAATCGGAGAAAGCATCGTGTCTCGTTCATTCAGTGGTGACGCTTCAATGCCGTAGTAGTATCTGGATTAATCCCATTACGTTTTATTAGTTTCCAAAAATGCTTAGGATATTCTCAACATAAAAAGCACTCATCGAGAGACTGCAAGGACACTTTCGCTACCGCAAGCCTTGTGATAAACTTCATATACTGGGAAAATTCTCTAAACAAAATGGGATCCTTGGACTGTTTCAGTTGAGTAGTATCTATTCGCGTATTGCACGAGGTTGAGCAGTAAGAATTAGATAGAGACCAAGGTCCCATTTCGTCGTAGTGCCAGAAAGGTAGTCACCGTTTCTAGAGGAAGGTTAACTCGTGCAAATAACTCCATTCTTTGGCACCGTTACCATGCAATAACCAACACGGTGCCAGTGGCAAACGAAGTGCGGACAAAGTAGCTTACAGAGCCAAAGTCAAACGCGATTAGATGAAATATCACTCCAAAATTACAGCAGTAACACGCACGATTCCAGCAATGCTCAACAGATGGGAGCAGAAAGTTGGTACCGATTAGGGTAGTTCAGCGGAGAAAAGCGAGTTAGACTACGTGTGCACAGAAACTCTTGAGGCAATCAATCAGATTGCCTTGGTTTTGATTGGTGCGCCAATTTTTTCCCATGCATAAATTTGTGTGTGTTTCTGCTTGTATTATGTATGTGACTGAGGAGAACAATCAAAATGTTGACATATCGCAATCTATGTCTTCGTTCTGATTTGATCAAGTGGCTGAAGGGAACATAATGTTTTACTTGGAGAAAAAGGTCAAAATGAGCACACATTACCTCTGAAAGCATCCATTTGTTTGCGAATACCTTTGTCCATATAAAAAGCCAGAGTTCGAGTGAAGTAGAGCTCAATGTTATGAACAGTTACAAGTTCAGGTTCGGTGCTCTGCCAATCTGAGTCCCTGCAGCTGAACGCGGTGGGGGCTTTGATCGTTCCCATCGAGGAGAGTTCCCAATCGTATACGTCGCGAAGAGGAAATGTGGTGTTCCCGAACTCCTGCGAATCGGGAAAAATACAAGAGATGGCACAATGCACGTGCTTGCCATGTAGGGTGGTGACCAGAACCAAAGGTTAAGAAGAGAATCCGGTGACCAAAATGAAGGAAAATAAAACACCAGATGAAGAGCAAGGGACACCACCAACAAGGATGATCTACAAACATCAGATCACGCAGATTCACAAATGAGCAGGTCACGCCCCGAAAAATCTCCGGTAAGAGCAAAAGGAAAGCTGGGAACAAACGAATGAAAGGTTATCGTATACAATAGATGGTGGCGAAGTTGAGACGAGAATCGTGTGAACCAAGCATGGAAGAAACTGTCCATAAGAACACAAAAAGACCTGTGGGAAACCCTGCGAACTATTTTTGGGTTCAGTGCATGCACACAACGAAGGACATGGTTTTGATGGGACTAATACAGAAACCCAAACGTTAAAATGTACACGGAAAGAGAAGAAAGTCACTGCGTTAAAGATCAAGAGCCTGCCTCGTAATCCGAGAGTGCGGGTTCGAGACCGCATAGGGACCAAGCGACCCTCGCAGTATCCTTAGTCCGCGTGCGACTGGTGGTGGTTGTGCGGCAGCGAAGCGACGGTACTGTGTTCTGGCGTACTGCTGACACCCTAGCCACTGAAGACCGCTGCTACACAAAAAGTTCGATAAACGTGTGCATCGACATCGAGGCGGCATATAAAAGCAGATGATAGGAATGTGAGAGAATTTTTGATAGTCGCGTGCAACCGGACAGACCAGTTGCAAAATAGGGAACGGGACAACGCGAATGGACTCACGCAGAGAACTGTGGACCAATTATCTCAAACATATGAACCGCAAAGGAACCCTACGACCAACCATGGTCAGTTAAAACTGTTCGATAATCCAAAAAAGGAACAATTGGGATGATATACGGTTAGCAAGCACTGAAAATGCACGTCAGGACCAACACAAACAGGAGGCACTGTCTACTGCTGTACAATGATGTTATTACTTACTACTTTAAAGTTCTCACGAGTAGCCCTCGGCGATGACACAGTGGTCCTCATGGGATCCGACCTATTGAGGGCTAAACTAGCTCTAACCATCGTCATGGTCGCATTGGCTATTTATTTACTCCTCGTCGATTGTCACGGTAGCCACATGCTTACATACGACTGAATACGGCGGTTTTCCTTGATTTGGAAGTTGCAATTGACTCAGTTGACAGTGCCAGTCTGTGGTAGCGTATATCCGTGGAAGGCGTATCCAAGGAACCACAATCCATTCTGAGGTCTTTCTACCGCGACCCCGAAGTCTGGCAACGATCTATTGGGATCCATCTCCCGAGTTTTCTGTGACACGTGAGATTTGCAAGGGCTGTCCAACAACTCTTTCCATCTTCAACTTTGTGATCAAAACAATCATAAACGACTCCGTTCCTTCAGACTTTTCCGGAGTGGAAGTTTGAGCAAGTGAAGAACGCACACTGTCGATGCACCAAATTGGACGAAAACTAGGCGTGACTAGTGTGAAAAAGTAACCGAGAGACTTGGTAAAGCTGGTTCGTGCCACACGTGTGGTAGACACTCTAGCGGACATGGCGCAGTCAACTAACCAGTGGGCATCTGTGCGCGTTTTTTCGCGTCTACCCGACAAAATTTACTCGCTAGCATCTTAACTCCAATTTCTATATAGCCTGGTTATGTTCTACTTCGGTTTTTCATCATTTGTATTTATTTATGCGTGCCGACACGAAACGCAGCAGTCGGGTCCATGGTACTCCAGGTCTGAACCCGTAAAAAGTAATCTCAACGACAAACCCGACCAGCCGTGCAATCTCATCTCTGAGCAGCCATACCGGTAGCCAGTGAAAAGTGATGGATGCGCTGGGACTCAGAAGAACTGGTGGAGCTCAGATCAACAGACTGGAGAACCGATGAAAGTAAAAAAACACATTGAACTGTGGGTCAAATAGCAAAGATATGTGTGAAACGGTAACATCAGAGAAGACGAATCAACGTGAAGTAATGCCTCTTGTTGCCTTGTACAGTAAAGATCAAGAGTTTATTCCTCAAATGGCCGTCAATACGTAAAAAACACATCGGCTCTTGAACGTAGATGACAAACAAGTGCCGAGGAATTATCTATTCGTTAAACAGTACTAACAAAAAGCTAGATTGGGCAGAGGAAACAGTAAGACATTAGAGCAGTTGAATGTATAAAGGAGATTTAACATCAGTGCTTTTTTCATACTTTATTCGGCAAAAGCGCACGCACGTAATGGTGTCTACGACTTGATGTGCGCAGCAGTTGTATTGAAGTAGTTTGTGCACCGTGGTTTCTATGGCAAAATATGTTGCACATGGTAAGGGTGGCATCTGAATGGGAAAGCAGCTACACTAAGTACTGACCTTAGATGGGGGCAAAAATTCCATACTGATGACCATGTCTTCCAGAGTACAACCGAAGATTTCGACAGCGAGTTCCTTTAATGTGTTCACATCCACATGGTGGGGTCCAGCTTGAGTTGTGAGCAGACGCTTTCTCCTGCAAAACTGAACTATACGACGGAAAAATGGTGCCCTTTCGGGATACACGATGCAGAAGTCGTCAAAATTCAGCAACTCAGACAACCAGTGTTTGGGAGGGATGGAGCGACAAGTACCTGCGTCATACAAGCGACGGTAGTAAGATGATACCAACAGTTCGCCAATCATTGATGCTGGGTCCTCGTTATCTTCAGTGAATATGGGTATCTTCACCAGCATCTCCTCAGCCGCGCTAACGGAGCCGAAATCACCATCTTCCCGACTTGTCCGTCGATTGGGTTCCGAGTGGCCATCAATAAGCTGATCGACGGCAGATTCGAGACCACCCAATTCCTTATCGTCCCTGTTCAAAGCAAAGTTGCGACCATAGGAGCACAGCAATTTCAGAAGAGGAGGAGATAAGGGCAAATCGATTCTCCGATTATCCTGTTCAGATGGAATGGAGGAAAAACCGGAAAACAGTAGTTGAAATAAACAACGGCGAGTGAGATTAAAGAAATGGCAACTAGCCCAACTGGTAAATAGAGTGCGAAAAGTATACTGCATAACAAGAAGGTGATGATGAACAGACCTGTAGACACTTAGCAACGGTAATGCCTAATATGTAGAAGCGATACAGCACTCCGTCAGGAAGCCGGTCCGGTGGCCAAGGGGCAGGGAATAGACCATGGGGCGTGTTCACGTAGGCGCTTGCCTCAATACCCAAGTCCATATCATCCTCAGGAGAGGGTCCAAAATTCGAATGCCTGTAATCCTCCTGTGCAGACAAGCTTGCAAGGGTTGGTATTGTCGAAAGATCGTGGGCGCTCTGGTCTGCTATGGAGCTATCGTCTACAACCCACATCATGCCATCGCGACGTCTGAGTTCAGCAGCCAGTAGAGAATAGAATTCTAACGTTGGCCCGAGTCCTGTACCATTTTCTCCTGACAAAAAGAAGGCATAGGTGGGATAAGTTGAGCGAGGTCACTTGCAGGAGGTAAATGGAGTAGTCTTTACGCGTGAGAAAACTTCTCGGAAACACCACTATGTATGTAATGTATTGCCTATGTGAGTGCCAGCAGTGGTTAACCGTGCTGTACGCCTACGCTCAAGTGGATACTGGGGTTGTCATTGAGACGGACTGATGAGGTCGAATAAATTCTAGCAAATTATGGGTGTCCTGATGTTTGTGCTAATTTAAGCCTGGCTGTACTTGATGAGAATGTTAACAAGGCTGTGCTCATTGGATGCCATCACTGGAAACCAAAGTGTCCAACTGGTACTGCAATGGTGTGTAGCGTCGGTAAATGCAAGTACTGGCCGGATCACGTTGCCTTTATGTGGGCGAAGCTTTTAATACGTCCACTCCAACTGAGACTCCCCATTCCACGTCACAGGTGATCCATACGTTGGTTGTGTGCTAGCGAAGTGCCCTGTCAACTACACGAGTTACTACTCTTAGGAGTAAAAGGGTAACACGTCACCCATGCAGTGATAGTAAAACAGCAACCCAGTTATTTGTGTCGAAATCCTTCCATCTGAGAGCAGCAAGTGCAGAGAGTAACCGGGCCACCCGTTTGTACGCCACCTGTATGATGGTACAGTGTCTTCAGGGAATAGAAGCGGACAATCGCAGGATACAGCAGCAGAGGATTCCTTGGAAAATCGACTGAAGTAGGCAACGAACATAGAGTGCTAAGCTAATGCATACACGTAATCAACAGGAGATGTAGGGGATGTTAGTCAACAGAGATCTCACATCGAATGAACGCATGAGCAGGACAGATAGATTGATTACACCGAGGCCATCGGTAAGTTGTAAGGAGTGACTCATTATCACGGTGAAGGAAGTAAGTTAAGCAGCCATCAGTCTAATCTCGGCGGGGGTGCGTTCGTCATTGGGAGAATCGATCACAATGGCATTCAGCATTTTTTGTTGTTTTGGGCAACCCAGAACGTTCCAGAATAGTGGTACTAATCGGTTTCAAACTGTTATTGAATACTGAATACTGGTTCGAAGCAGCGAGTAGAGCTTTCTCTGTGTAGCTGCATCATCCGTCGCTCTTTGACATTTACGCCTTATTTATCGTTCCGCTCTCCATATTTTTTCTCTGCAAAATGTTTATCTAGGAGCTTCTTAAATTCGGACACTGAGTTCGCCTCTACTATGTGCTGCGGTAGGTCGTTCCAGACATTCACCACTCTGCGTTCGAAACAGAGTTGGTGAGCGACCCACTTCAACTTCGGTACGATAAGTTTATACCGGTGCCCTCGCGTGCAGCTTAGTGTGCACAGATGAAGCAGTTGTCTCAACATGAGGTAATCACCCAGATGTAATATCCGGTGAGTCATGATGAGGTCAACCCTCAGCCGACGATAAGCTAGGGTGTACAGCCCTAGTTTCTCACATCGGTCTTCGTATGGCATACCTCGTAAGTTGGGAATCAGCCTGGTGGCTACATGCTGCACCCGCTCAAGCTTTTATACCTCGCCCAGGGTGATGGGACAATACGCGGGAGAGCCGTACTCTAGCATTGGTCGTATTATCGAGACGAAGAGGCGAGTGGCAGTCTCTTCGGACCAAGTGCTGAAGCTGCGCCTGAGGGCCCAATGCATCCGAAGGCTGTTTTGGTACAGCCTATTCGTGTTATCAATGGACTTTAGGTCGCAGCGTGAGAGCACACCGAGGTCGCGCACGAAAGATGCGGGATGCAACGGTTGATCAGCCACTGTGTACGTTCGGCTGTGCTCACACTTACCCAACCTCATAAATTGCGACTTGGCAGGGTTGATCGGAAGGTTAACCTCTGCAGACCATGTCGAGAGGCGGTCGAGGTTCTGCTGAAGTAAATCACAATCACTGAGTGTGCGGATTAATCTCCACACCTTTAAGTCATCTGCGAACAACGCACAAGGTGATTGGAGTAGCTGAGGCACACCGTTTACATGGATCAGAAACAATATCGGCCCCAGTACAGTGCCTTGGGGGACGCCGCTGCTCGATGGATACCAGTCAGTTAGATGGTTGTCCACCTGGACCCTCCACTTTCGATCAACAACGAAATTCCTGATCCACTTGTGCAGCGAACCACCAACATCGCACATCCTCAGCCTGTCAAGGAGCACTGCATGGTTAACCTTGTTCAGCGCTTGTAACCATTCGTGCCTTGTCAATAGTAGGTTGGTGATGCACGATCAACAGTAGGTTGGTGATGCATCGCTGTGTATCCCGAGTCGGAGCAGAAGCACTACGAAGTTGAGAGTCACGTATGCTACTCTATCGACTATGGCTCCCCATCGATTGGAGTAGTTCACTTGCTTGAATTATTGAGTACGGTGCCCAATTTCTAATCGCATCCGGTCTTGTTCATGATCCTACTTCAGTGCCCTTAGATGAATTTATTACGACCTTGTCGTTTGTAAGCTGTTTTCGCATCATCTGAAGGTGTTGACTTGTAAGCACACTTCTCCACAAGTCGACATCGTACTAACGTCGTGGGAGATAGCAGTTAGCTAGTTTCTGAACCAGATAAGCTATTCAGGACTGGTAGGTTGAACATGTTTAAAATGGGTAAAATGTTTCCGAATTTTCTATGAACAATCTGTTCAAGTTTCTAAGAGACTTTGCAATGAAGTTCAGGCGCAGGTTGTATATTTAACAAATGCATCGTATACCTCTTGGATTATGAGCACTTAGTTCCCCCTTCAAATTGTTGTTTGTCAACAAATTCTATAACAGCAATTCGATTCAATCTCTCATAATCAAGTACAGTTTCACAAAAGTTGGCGAACACAACCTGAAAGAAAAAAGATAAGTACTCAACCACGGTTTGTAAGCGTGTTGAGTCTTCAGCGAATCCACAACACATTTGTAAGTTTGACATGTCACCCAATGAGCGGATGCCACGCGTCTGGCGTTAGTCTCATGGGGATTCCTTTTATTTCGACGCAATGGTGTGAGAAGCGTATGGGGATGAGGATGTCGGAAAATGTGTTACGTGAGAAAGGATATCGCCATACATATGCACACAATCTCGCATGTCGGGCTAATCATATGACACAGCAACCTAACAGCTTCAGTTGGAGTTCGTCGTTTGAGAAGGCGAAAATCAGCTGCTTAACCCTAATGCAAATTACATCAAGTGGCCAAAAAATAAACATCGCAAGTAAAGAAGCAAATATGAGAGCGGTTTACCGACGAACTGAATTTCCAGCTCAGATTTGCGATTGGCGTGTTGCTCCATCAGGCGCGCAGCCCAATCCCAAAAAGTGACTGGGAACGAAAAATTCGGCAGTACTGCAGAGCCCCGCTTTTCAGAGGAAATTTGTCCACCCATGCGATCACTCGAGTCAACGAGGAGTTCTTGTGGTAAGCGAGGAACACGGACAAACTCTTTGTGTAGTCGGGCAATTTGACCCAACGTTTTATTATCCGGTTGCACTACCTGATTCCTTAGCATTCGATTCAAAATGCAGCGGCTCAGGTTATCATAGGAACATTCATCACTCAACTCTTGGGGTAAGTGGAGCCCGACACTGGAACCAAACGAATCCAAAAAGGAAGTTTCCGCATTGGTTCGATTCTCCTCCGCAGTTGATGATCCCATCGTGTGTGTCAGGATAGTCACCCTGTCGGTGGGAGGCAAATCACTGGCAGCATTGTCGTCTGCGGTGTTGAGCAAAGACGAGAGCGCAAGAGTATGGGCAGTGGCCACCGTGATGGAGCGGGTGGCGGTGTGATGACCACTGCTAGCTGAACTCCCAACGCTTTGTGAACGAGTAAGGGTCACGTTGGGAGAACCCAATTTCGTTGACTGGTTCTGCAACCAAAGCACAGCTCTGTAATGGGGAATGTGGGTAGGATTAGACGGTCGGTTGGCAGTAATGCTCTAAAAAATGCTCCAAAAATGGCACTAGGTTTATTAAAATGCAAAAGTGACTAGTAGTGCAATGTGTAGGTTTATGAAATGATCCGACTGTTTATCCGCATAGATATCAGATGATCATAGCAAAGCTTACGCTCATGGAAAGCCGGATCCAACATCGGCTATGGGAAACATTGGAACCCCTTGCAAATTCATATGATGAAAGTAACAGAATACTTAAGTTTAGCTCATGAATAGGCCCAGTACGGCGTTCAGCTTGATTTAAACCCCACTAAATATTGTTTTATGCAGGGGGAGATAAAGAGGGTCGGAAGTGTTGTCAAGATGTTTAGACATCAACTCCAAAGCAGAGAGATGCAAAAAGACAGAGGAACAACATCCCTCTGATGATTGGAAGATGGCTTTCCTGGTAGTTAGATTGATTTAATAAGTTGACCTAAGGAGAGCACCAGACAGTTTTATCGGTTCAGGTTAAGAAAGGCAAGCTGATCAATGAGGCCTCAGAGGGATAAAGCCAATAAAAACGAGTTCTAGCGCACTCCCCGAGGGCCACGGGAAATCCAAAATGTAGTTCGGAATAGCAAACTATCTGAATAAAATTACCTAGCTGGCCCAAATCCACAAGCCCTCAGTAAATCTAGGCGTGACGCAAATGTGAACAATGGTGTCAGCCGATGAGTGAGACTGAAGCACCAGTGCGGCAACGCTCCAGAGGCCAATGCCAGAGGGTCGTGTATCTGGCGAAGTAGTTTTTTTGTCAAACGACTGGAGATAAAATCTTCATGCTGTACACAGTGCAATGCCCCTGAGGGATCTGTCCTGAGCGACTGCGATAGGCCCTGGTTCGTGAAATCGTCGAAATCAGCGGTAAGTAAACGGGGATCTGAAATGCCAGAAAGTTGATGGATTATTTTGATCAGGCGCAACAGGTGCTCGGGAGCAGGTGGTGGCTGGGTGAGAGATGTGTTGAATTCATCTTGCTGAGTGAACACAGAGTCCAGTGATCCTTGGTCCTCTGCCATTGTCACGTAACTCAAGACGTCTGCACTGTACTTGACCGGATGCCGTAAAGAAGGAGTGAAACGCATGTCGCTATGGTCAACGAATGCTCCCGGATTAAATCCAGATTGACAGCACTGAAAGCGGACAAATACGGATCGATATAAAAATGATTAGATGACGCAACAACAACAAAACAACAGCAACAATCGCATCAAATGAGACAAACTAAGGGACGTCTGGTGACATTCCTATTTGACAACGGAAATCAAAGAACAAGCTTGTGCTGATAAGTTATGAGTCGTGTGAGCAACGCTGATGACCCAAAGGACGATGCAACAGGGGAATGTAAGCATGAATGCGATGCAGTACAATTAGCCGGTATGAGAACTACAGCACATTGTAATCAAGGTAAGCTGTCAGACTCGGTGATCCGAGGACTAAAATTCCGACACAGTCGCGCGACTCTGGCCACACACCCACTCCTCAAAGGTGGTCTATGCTTCGTATGGCGCCACCGATCACGTGAGGGATCGTCTGACGCACCGTCTTCATTTACCCTCTATATGGTCGGCTGTCTTGTCTGTGCCGTATCTTGACGTTTGATCAACACACTGTCCGGTGCAGTGAAGTCTGTTCTATGCTCTACGCCTCATAAAGCGCGATTATAAGTGCAGCACTGAGCAATGGTTCATGATAGCTGAGAGACAGGGGTCAATCAACAACAGTATGGAATATTCCACATGCTGAATATACAAATGTCAGACTGATAAACGCCGATCGGCTTTGACGACGTGAAGAGAAAGCACTTTCCTATAATGCCACCAGTAGTAATGTAGCTATTCAGATAGACAAAACTATCCATATGTCCAATCTTAGAGAAGGAGCACGGAAATGCCGACCACCAATGCTGGGGTGCATTTAACACTGCGAGGAGACAAAGCACAAAATCAAGTGTAGATACCTCCAACTGACAAATAGTTGGGCTCAGAATTATGTGCGTACTCTGCGAGTCATCACCCAGTAAGGCGATGCCGGTAGCACGGCTGCCTAGATGAAAATCCTAAAGTGTTGGAAACTTTCTACATCTGTCTATGGATGTCTTAAACTGCTTTAAAGTACTTGTCTTGCGGCAAAGCAAGAACTGAAGTGATGTCCAGATCCCAGGCAAGTCAATGGCTATTCTGATGTTCAGACAGAGCTAAAACAATCGATACTGTAGATTGGGCACAATTCGGCCAACTGGAGTTCGTTACAATAACAAGGCCTGAGGAGGAAGCAACGGGTCTATTATGAGAGCACAGAATATCAGTGCTGAATTGCGAACGAAGTATTGTATACATGGCAAAATGATGGGGTGTAAACAAGCAGCTGTAATGACAACTGCACAGCAACAAGTCAATGCGACAGAAAGGTTGCAAAATACGGTAGATGTGTGTGTGATAGTTGCATGGCTCTAGTGACGGGACAACCTGTGTAAGCACAAAGCGTTGATGAAAAGCGTACCTTGTGTAATGAAGCTGATTCCTCCTCGTATCCACACATTTGATACCCCAACTCAATGGTGTAGGGCCCATCAGTCATAACTGCCTGGGTATCCTCAGAAATGTGCTGCTTCGTATGGGACCTGGTAATTTGCAAGGCCTGGGTCAGTTCCTATAACAAAGACAAAAAATAAGGCTGTGAGGAAAACAATAGATGAAGTCATCAGTCAAGATCCAAAGCGAATGAACCCCGATTGCCAACAAAACGGTTGACTTTCGGTCAGAGAAAACAGCCACTTTCCCGCAGTTAGTTTGCAGGAAGAAAGCATGTCTCAAACCCGAAAGACTGTTTAGAGTACCCAGTAGGGAGGTGGAGAAAGCAAAATGCCGATACACAGTAAGAATAATTATCTCCGAATGAAAATGAGTTAGTGTGACATCCAAGGCCAATCCCCGGAACCAAAGAGCGCCGCGCTGCGAACGTAGGTCAATTGCAATCGGAGAGGAGCTGGTCAACTAGGCTGCGCCAAATCGAGAATGCCAAAACCAGGACGTCGCCTTCAGTCGTTACAAACAATTATCCGGTAAGTAGCCGCATGTGCCACAACAAACAATGTTAAGGTCGAACATGTAGAGCCGGAATAAGTAGACACGAACTTTCAGTAGCACTTTTCGGCCACCAGCGAGCATACAGAGAACGACACGCGTCGAAAGAAATAAGATCAAACTGTGGATTCAGTAGGGTCTAAATAGCCATGTGGAGATGAACAACCAAAGAGAAACGAAAGCGATCAGTGTAGACGGGACCAGATGACACACGAGTAAGTCAGTAGAGAAAAAGTTGCATGGAGATCGCATGACGAGGAATAGAAAGAAATGACAACAGCGGGACAAACGAAGGTACCTGGATGTAGCTGAAGAGCGTACGACTCGGATCCGTCATGGCGATTTCGATGACGCGGTGGGAATTAATCAAAGCTGATAGCTGAAGCATCAGTCGGTGTCGTGTGCCTGATGAACAAAGTAGAAGGAATGACAGCTGAGGTCGCCGAATTAGCGGTAAACATGACATGTGAAAAAAATGAAGCAGCAAGCTCGACTAAAAATTATTCCAAAGCAGAAACGGACTGAAAAGTAATACTGACGCTCTTGTATTACACGGAAAACTGAAATTCACAGGTGAAAGTGGTACATCAACCATCCTTGTTGACGTTCACTCGCTACGCAAGATGCAAGTGAGTGTACGAGAGTTGGGATACAGCTGGAACGCACAAACCGACGCAACAGTGGGGAATGGAACCCGAAATGCAGAGGCCGCAGACCTAACACCGGAACCCCTACACCACAATTGTGATTGCTGCAGGAATAACAAAACGCCAATCCAGCAAAGCGGATTTGGTGTGAGGCACTGGATTGCTAGGCTTCAATCCATTAAGTGGGTGAAACCAGCATGGGACGTCAAACACCCAACAACAAGGAATTCTAGGCACAGTGCTTCAAACATTAAGACCGATGAAGCAACAGGGAAGTGGTAGATTGCAGTTGTTGGGAAAAGGTCATATTTCCCAGGAACTAAGCTAGAATCAAAATGACCATGGAGTTATGGTTAGCCACCATGTTTGAATTTTAAACGGTGCGCGCTATCTGTTCCCGCTTCAAAAGAGCACTGTGATTAGCTGATTTGGCAAAGCCGTTGAATGACCTGAACCAATCATGAGTTTTCCACTGTCTTCTGGTCTTCTGTGTTGGTGTGCGAATATATCTCGTGTGAGTTCTTGACATCTTTCGTTCCGGAGTTAGGGCTATAGAATGGTGTTGGATTTGTGTTGTATTCGTGATTATGTGTCGTGATTTCGTTGTGAGAGTTCAGTTTTCCGTCCGTATTCGTTCCGAACTGCGTTAGTGGCCATAGCATCGCAACAGCAGTATTTAAGTGAGCGCAGAAATAGTACGTTCGAACTAGTGGTAAGAGGTCGATTCGTAGCATGTTCGCGGATAACGAAAGTGAAACAACTTAGTAACTCGGTCTAGATATAAGGAGAGCATTCGCATATTGAGCGTGTAAGTCCGGATGAGTTGCAGACGAACGGAAACCAGACAAGCTTAATGCCAGCAGGAAAATGACAAGATTTCCGAAAACGATGCAATTGTGACTTAACGAACACAAAGGTGAAAACAGAAAAATCATTGCAGAACAATGCTCACCGGTGGACGGCACCGAATGCAGTGTTGACGCATTACGGGAAGTCGAAAGTGGAAACGGATTGCACAATGTGAACATTGTTGTGGCTGGAGCGTTCGTAACGCCTGGAGTCGGGTTGAATGACGGTATTAGACCGGTCGGAAGTCTAAGGGTTTCCATCGCTGCATTCCAGGAGAGAGGCATAATCCGAGTGGCCGGTTTCGAGTCACTTACGGAAGGCAGGGTGAATAGTTGTGGCTCATTTTCTGGTTGTATAGGTCGGGAACGAGGTCGACGAGGCCGTCGGCGCTGTCGAGTGCCTTTAGGAGGGCCCGGAGAAGAAGATGACTTTCCTTGGTTCTTATGGACCGACTTAAAGTGAAGAGTTTTCTTTGAATCCAAACACGAATTAATACTATGCTGACGAAGAATAGTTCGATCAGTGCCACCAGAATCGTCAGTACGGTTCAAAGAGGCTGGTACGTCGGAAGAATTCTTGGCGTTATCCACATTGATGGTTACAAACTGAAAATAGAAGAAAGGTGGTTTAAATATGTGGGAAGAAAAACGAGTTATTTGGGCTAGGGGGGCCTAACAATGCCGTGAAGCAAAATTTTCTGGAGGAAACGCCGATCAAAATGATAATCGCAAAACAAGAAAAATTTCGTGAACTTTCCGTGCAAGAAAGAGTTACCGAAGAAGAAAGCACAGTTTCGATGGCGGTTACTTCAGATACACTGAAAATATCAATTGAAAAACGCAGCAAACCAGAGATAAATTTTGCAGTTTTCCCTCCGAACGAGATGTAATCAACTAGCCAATCGGTGATGAGGAGACAAAGAACAGATGACTGAAAGCTGCAAAACACACTAAGTGAAACAACTGCAGTGCTAAAATTATCCTGACTTGAGAAATGAGAGCGAGAACGAGTAAAATCCACACAAAAGGAAGTGAATAGCACATTAAAGTCAAGGAAAAGCAACCTAACCACTTATCAGAAATAGAATCGCCGGAACTAATAACCTCCACTAAACAACAAGTAAAAAAGCGCGCCAACGGCAAGTTAACATGTAGCTCACCGGGTTAGTGACAGTTTCTGTCTTCAGGCCTGAATCGTAAGATGCATCCTGTGCATCACACTCCTGCTTGGTCCAAGTTGCTGTATTCCCGGCGCGTGATTGAGACGGTTGCTGTTGAATGAGATCTTGGTTTAATTTTTCATTTCGTACTTTTTGTAGATAAGCCTCTAGTTCGGTTAGATCAGTGCGGGAACTCTCTCTCAGATGCTCATAAGGGTCTTGTATGGTTGGCGAAAAAGCCCGTGAGAAGGGGGGTGAATGAGAGGAGATATTGCTTTGAATAATTGCCTCAACGGTCTCTGCGAATTCCATTGCAGCGGAATCTTCCGTGTTCGATTGGAAAGAGCCACCAGCAGGCTGTGTGGAGTGAGAGTACAGGATCAGCGAGTAACATGATTAAGGATGAACCATATGACACATAACAGGCCATCAGCGCGCATTATGAACAAGAGGCATGGTAGAGTAAGTAGCATGAAGGCTCTAGCAAATAGAGGTCCAGTACTGTCGTAAGCAAAAGTGGATAGGGAAGATAATCCGTTGGCAGATGAATTGTCAGTTTTGTCATATTCACCCGTGAAAAAGTATAAATGGGGATACTGTGTGGCAAGCTGGAGCCATTACAAGTGCTCCGGGTGATGTTTGAAGATCGACGAACGTTGATGGAACACCAAGTAGGGCGTGTGGTAGGATAAATAAGTGTTTGCCTAACCCGAAATTCGTCTGGGTGATTTGTGTAGTTCCACCAATTTGCGAGTAGAGTTCAGGGTCCATGAATATGCGCGGTATTTTCAAGCTACTGGCAAGTAGTGTGTGACGAAGCGGTACAAACGAGTCACTGTGAGCCAAGCAAGGTTTAGAGAGGAACTTGTGGAGCGCTAACCGTTGTGACAAGCGTTGAGGGTTGTTCGATGATGTAGAACAGTGGTTCTCAACGTTTGGAGACTGCTACCCCTAAAACAGGTCCAACATAAAGAAAAAACCCTAAAATCTTTGTCTAAAAAGCAAATTTATTATTAGCTATCGCACGTTGCCTTGAAGTATGGAAAATGTAGTCTTCAGCGAAGTTCAGTCACTCAAAAAGAGAAACACCTATTTTCTGGCGATTTTTGTTATTAAACCAGGAAGTAAGTTAATGTGAGAGTTGATACGGATTAGTTTCAATAGTTTATTTACCGTTTGGTGCGGTTTCGGTTACTGCATACTGTAAGTTGTGCTCCAATTTAAATCGGTTCCTTGCTTTTGTTTTCATTATCATCGTGAAAAAAACATTTTCACGCCTAAAAGTAGTGGTGAATGGGACCAGTATTTTCAATGATTTTTGCAATATTAATGGATATTCGTCACCAATATTTGCTCATAAGATTGCTGCCGGTGTGTTTTCGAAATCTATTTTCAGTATGTTGTCATCGCGAAGTCCAAGAATTGTGCTTTAACTTTAATTTCAATATCTGGAAATATTGTTTCATCCACCGTAAAGGGTCACTGCACACATGCATTTACTTGGCGCTTTCCCAAATCAGAAAAATAGCTGCGTACAATTAATTCACTCATTTGATTTTGCCTCACGGCCACATAAACCATGGTATGTTCAGAAGTTAGCGAAATCGACGACGGCAACCACACAAGCAGGAATTAGTCATAGGGTGACGAACGACTGCTTGACTGTAACGAACAACGGTTGTCGAGCGAATCGACAGAGGCGCCATCTAGCGGCGACGTGGTGCAGGCTTGTAGTAACATTTAATACTTAAAATGGTCTAATTCACTAATCAAGCACTAATAATTTTTTCCTTCGTAGCTAAACATTAGTGATTAGGTAGTTAGATGATGTGAGGTGGATGGTTTTGTTAATAATTTTATTTCGTGACTAAGTGATGATCCAGTTTTCGTTCATATCTGTACCCATCGTAAAATCCCATTTCACTCGCTTGGGAGCAAGTACCTACAGATTAGTTACCATGCCCATAATCCCGGGATCGAGCCGAATCACTGTTATATCTACGTGACGGGTTTAAACTAACACGAGAATAGTCATGGAGTGCATTGCTGCGCGGACGGGCAATACATAACATATTTTTAGTATAAAAAACACTTCAATTCCGCATTGTACCTCCAGAACGGACGTAAAATGAAGAACAGCCTCAGGAAAAACCAGATGTTTCGGTTTTCCTGGTCGCAGGTCGCAATCATCGCCACTACTGTGCTGTGCCCCGGCTTATTAGATGCGTCTTGTTACATAGAATCTATCTAACCGCACCGTTTTTTCATATTTTTCTTTCTTCTTTTCGTGGTTTGCTTGGAAAGCGAAACCGCAATTTCAGCGAAGATTAACGCAGGGCTTTATTCGCAGTTTCTGTACCTTGCAAACTGTTGAGGATATCGCATTTATTTTGCTATTATAAACTAGAGCACCGCCTGTGTGCTGCGTTTGGTCTGTTTGTTTTTACTTTTTTCCATTTTTTGCCCTAGCAAGCTCTTTAGGCTGGTAATCCAATTCGTTCGAATGCTCGCCAAGGTCACTCACCGATTTAATAAAGGAATGGCATACAGAGTATCTTGTGCATACTTACAGAACTGCGTTATCTAGAAGCTTAACATATAAAAGCTTAACATAAAAGCTTAACATATAAAAATTTATGTCTAGTCTTACGATTTTTCGTTTTTTGCTACCTCATTCATTTGTTCTATTTCCCCCCGTTTAACCTAATTCCCCTGCTCTATCTACACATTTATCGGGAGATTGACTCGGCTGCTTTGGCCACCTAGAGGAAAAAAATGAAAACGCGCTCCTGTAAGCTGGCTCGTGGTTGGAAAACGCAAACTTACACAGGAGACAAACTGCAAACTAGCGCTCACATTGCGGGCGCTGTCATCTGCTCGTTTGGAATCCAACAGTTACAAAACACCTGACAACTAACACCTGAAAACCACATGCATAAGCATAACTCTTCTGTACATTTTGATCTGGCTCGCTCGAGTTCAGTCTCTCGCATACGAGAAGATACACTTCTTCTTCTTCTTCAAAGCATCGGTAGATACTGCACACCTGGATGTCGCAACAACACTGAAGAGAGGAATCTGTTGTGAAGTCTAAATTTTATAAGCAACAACTCAGAATTAAAGTGTATACAAGCCATTAACGGTGAACAATTACAAATAGGTATTTGCCGTTGGAAGATATCAGTGAGACAGATCCGGTGTGACTTTCATCGCTCGCGCTACATCCAGTTTGGATAGTAGACGTCAGCGAACTTATCAATGACGCAGGTGGTCACTTAAAGTGGGGTGCATGGATTCAAGTTTGAGAAGCTATTCTGGCTGACAGCAACGAATTCGTTTAACGCCGCTGGATCAACGATCAACGTCCTCGGGGCTTACGAGATCCCAGACTAGGACAAGAAAATAAGCCTCTCCTCGGCAACCGGTAAAATGGTTTACTTGGCACGGGCATAGGTCAACGCATATAGTAAATTTCTGTCGGTGATTTGTGGAACTGCATTGGCCATTATCGCCTAGCACACACTTGCACGTCTGATTGTCGCGGATGCACTGATATCAGCCCAGCAATACACCTCACCATTGACAAGGGAAACAAAAGAAGTACAAAAGTAAGTTAAACTGAGACTTTGCTGTCCAACAGAATGACTCGGAAATGCGAAATTGCAGAAGAAGTGGAGCCTGGTAGCAGCTTCAGATCTCCAAAAAAGGTAATACAGGAGCGAAGCGCCCACCCCATGCAAACAATATTTGGTCACAAACAGCTGGCTACCATGCGAAAATAAGGTAGCATCGGAGACACGTTCCCGGTGGCTTTCACTTTCATAACCTCACAGATAAATCAGTAGCAGAAACACCATGACATTTTCTTCGAACATAAACTGCATCCTGCATCGGCCGTCGCGCAGATTATCAAGGGTCGCCTTATCTGCTGCATACAGCAGGGTGGATAAGCGAAAACATGCTACCGCTGGCGCCTCCCTTCTTTCTTTTCCACCTTTTTCTCTTATTCCCATCCCGACCCCCATTACTAACCTTCCTTCTATAATTCACAGCTTAATTGGCAGCAACCGAAGTGCTACTGGAGTAGTACCATCTGCAGCCACCATCCCACAGCACCTATTGGACGCTTATCGGCAAAAGTCCCTTATAAGGCCACGCTGTCCCGTTTCCATGGCGACATTCAACGTCCGCACTCTAAGACAAACAGGTCAGCAGGCTGCACTCGCGCGCACCTTGGACACATTGGGTGTTGATGTGTGTTGTGTGTCCGAAACTAAGATTAATGACACTAACGGGGTTATTGAATTAACTGCATCCGACTTATCCTCTCGTTATTGGTTGCACGCATCCGGAAACGCCGATGCAGCACTCATGCGTCAAGCTGGTTTAGGTATCATTCTAAGCCTCAAGGCTGAGCCGTCGTTGATTGATTGGATTCCGGTGAACAGCCGTTTATGTGCAGCCCGTTTGACGACATCAGCTAAGGTTGATTCACGAAGTAGTAAAAAACGCTGTTTGTTTGTGATTTCCGCTTATGCTCCCACCGACTGTAGTTCAAATACTGTCAAGGACATATTCTATCACGAACTGAACGCAGTGCTACTAGTGCAGATATTATAGTACTTGCAGGAGATATAAGCGCACAAGTAGGGGTTGTGAGATCTGCTGAAGCTCACCTGGGTGGTAATTGTGGACTTAACGCCGAACGGACTGACAACGGCGAGCGTCTATTGCAACTGTGTGCGGAGCACCAGTTGTTTCTTACTAGCATTGCTTTTAGACACAGTGGGCGCCGAAGTGCCACTTGGCGTCCACCTGTAGCTGGCCAGCGATAGACCCAAATTGACCACATAGCGGTTCCATTCTGGATTGCCGCTCGTACTGGAGTACCTGTATCGACTCTGATCATGCCTTGGTGCGCTGTCGTTTCTCCATGAACTTTACCGGAAGGCGCACAAAGCGTCTCCCCCGATTGGCAACGGAGAAATTGTCCCAGGCAAGCCTATCAAGAAGTACTGCATAGCGAACTCCCGCTGTCTTGTCCTAATGACACTGAACTTCAGTGGAATAAGATCTCGGCCGCCATGCACGATGCAGGAGCATTTGTTTGTGGCACTGTCAGTCGTCACCGCATCAGTCACTGGATATCCGAGAGGTTAGCGAACCTGTTGGAAGCTAGATGACACCTCCCGGCTGGTTCTGAACACAATGTGACCAGACAGGCTATTAGGCGTGAACTAAAGCGAAGCCTACGTGCTGACAAGGAAGCCTGGTGGACCAGTCGGGCTCAAGAAATGGAGGAGTCAGGAGCAGTAGGCAATTACCGCAAGCTCTTCCAGCTAATCCGCACCATTGGTCCCAGAAAACCAGGGGTCAGTGAGACAATCAGAGACAGCGCGGGTGCGCTGATTCACAATAAGGAGCGCCGTATTGCTCGTTGGGCGGAACACTTTCAAGATCAGTTCAGCTGGCTCCCTGCTCCCGGACCGCTTCTTACTCAGGTGATGCAGGACGAGCCATGGACGGTTAGTTTAGAGCCTCCGTCGGAGGCCGAGGTCCGAAACGCGATCACAGCCCTCAATCGTTTTCGTGCCGCTGGTCCGGATTCCCTCCCACCTGCACTATTTAAGGATGAAGGTGAGGTCCTCTGCAAAGCAATGACCTCCCTATTCGAACGTATCTGGAACGAAGTGTGCAGGCTAATTGGAGCGAACCGATTATAATGGCAATATACAAAAAGGGCGGTCGCACAGACTGTGCGAACCACAGGGGTATTGGCCTAACGCCAGTTGTGACAAAATTACTGGTCTCGATTATCGTTCGTGGCCTCACTGCAGAACGGGAATCTCGGATTAGGGAAGAGCAGGCCGGTTTTCGCCCAGGACATGGTTGTATAGACCATATATTCACTTTGCGGCAGGTGCTAGAGCAGCGCCACGCATACCGCAGACCGACAATAGCTGTGTTCCTCGATTTCAAGAGTGCGTTCGATTCAGTCGATCGTTCGATTACGTTCGAAATACTTGCGCGAAAAGGTGTTCCCACGAAATATGTGAACATCATTCGTGCTCTATACTCGAACACTACAGGCCGCGTCAGGGTCTATGGTGTCCTATCGGACAGCTTTTCAACTACAAGCGGCGTTCGTCAGGGTTGTCCGATTTCTCCGTTTTTGTTCAATTTCGTCGTGGATTCTATCATGGAGTGTTCCCTTGCGGAATCCAACGATGTAGGCGTTGAAGTGCTGCTTGGTGAAAGGTTAGTTAACCTAGATTATGCGGAAGATATTGTCTTGCTATTCGACAAGATTGAAGCGGCACAATCAACCCTGAATAGCCTATCCAAAGTGGTCCCATTATTTGGTATGCACTTCGCACCTTCAAAGTGCAAAGTGTTGCTGCAGGACCACCAGCCACTTGATGACCCCATGACGCTTGCTAACGAGGAACTCGAGGTGGTTGATCAATTCACTTATCTTGGCAGCTGCATCAGCAATGATGGGCGCATAGAAACTGACGTGAGCTCATGCATTGCAAAGGCCAGAGCTGCCTTCTTGAACCTGCGTCACTTTGGCGACAGAAGGGAGTTTCCCTCCGTCTGAAAGGCCGTGAATACAAGGCCACAGTGAGGGCCGTTCTGCTCTATGGTAGTGAAACTTGGCCCCTTCGGTCTGAAGATCTGAGGCGCCGTCAAGTCTTTAAGCATCGTTGTCTGCGAAGCATTGGTGGAGTCGGATGGCACCAGCGTGTCCACAACGATGATGTGCGTAGGCGAGTACTAGGTGGTGATGATCATGCTAGGTCCCTAGAACAACAGATAGCACTGAATAAGTTGCGTTGGCTCGGGCACGTGCTACGTATGCCTGGTCACCGCTTACCCAGGAGGGCCTTGTTCAGTCTACCAGGTGTAGGATGGCGCAAGGCTCGAGGTGGACAGAAGTTGACTTGGCAGCGGGAAATGAAGTCACTGACGACCAAACTGGGTGCCGTTGGTCCGTCTCGCCTTCCGGGTTGGAGTCCACGTGATTCACTTTACAGGACATGGCTCGAAACCGACACCAGTGACGCGTCTGCTGCCGCTTCGTAATCGGATTGCCTGTTTAAAGGGTGTTTGGTGCTGAGTTACCTTCGGGGTAATGGCTGATTATGACGCGTGGCAGTGAAAGCCGAAAGGAAGCTGTCTCGCCGATGCCGCCTTGTCTTTGCACGATAGCCAGCTGTTTGTGACAGTATGTTGTCTACACAAGGTGCAGGCGCCTTGACCCTGAATGTTTGCTTAGGGCATTAAGGTTTTCAGGTAAGTCCCCCTTCTCTCCCTCTTCTTATTCTTTATTTCATAGGTCCTCGTGGTTGTATGGCAGCGAAGCATCAGTTCAAATGGCTGATGTGCTGCTGTTGATGGTGATGATGATCAGAAACACTTTTAACAGGTAGTTCACAGCTAAAAGATGACAGAGAGCACGCCACTGGCGCCGGCTGAGAGTCATGTTTTGTGGAGTCTCAAGCACAAGTTGGGTCGAGTGGGTTCTAATCAGGGACGTGAAAAGGGCGAACAGCAAACAGTGTAGTCGCTGCCAAGTCAACCTTTGCCCACCTCGAGGCTTGTGCCAATATTGCTGACCTAGTATAAGGCGTGTAATAAAATGGGGCCGTTTAAAGGTAAGATTGCCAGTGGTAATATGAAGGTAGAAGAGTATAGAGGAAACGTAAATGCGATGGTTAACTTGACCTGGTTGAATACGTGAGATTCTTTTAAGGGTAATATATAGGCGCGACGGTTCCGTGAAGGATGGAGTAATGAAAAACACATGTAATGATCTTTATAAACACAGATGATACTAGTTGGCCCCAAACGACACATACCTGACCACCATGGCAGGAAGTGGGCGAGTCCTCTCGGCTAAGTAGCCAAAGTGGCATCTCGATCCTTCCACTTTCTTCTACGCGGACTGATGGGGCTGTCAGACGACCGTCATCCACTGGTTCATCAGATTCGAGAGGAACAGAAGCGCCCTTCGGAGCCTGTGACGTGGCATCTGCGGATGAATCAGTCACGAGAACGCTCGGTGCTCCCTCAGCATCAGCTTGTGACGGCTGACGACCGAACTTAAGTTCAGGGAACGCAATTGGGTTCGGGTCCGATTTTCCCGTAGACGAGCTCCTAGAAAGTGAATCAGCTAGAAAAGTGACAAAAATGGAAGCACTGTGATAAACGCCGTCCAAAAAGTTACGAGAGCGAGAATATGTAACAGCAAACCAAAACGCTATATATAAGTAACACTAGCATTCCATGGAAAGTTAAATTTATTTCGTCATTTGGACAAAAAATTGCTTTGGTCGAATGGAGATGCTAGTTAACTGAGATGAGAGGAACCATCGGGAATCACGGAAGCGAAACTAATCACTCCAATAACGGTATCGAATGGATGCGAAACATGATACGCAGTGTTATGGACCAGAAGACCCAATCCTAGTACCAGGATGCACGTGAACGAGAAAATAGTTCTATCGACTATCTTTTTGGCATCAGATGAAAGCTGAACAGTAGCAAAGCTTGTGAAGCCCAGAAGAAAGAACAGGAATGCCAAATCGGTCCTTAGTGTACTGAGAGCAAGCTACGTTGAACAAATTCGGCGAACGAAGCAAAAATCATGACAGACGGTACACATAAGCGAGGACAAGAAAACACTGGCTGTGCAATCGGATCGCATCTCCGGGTTAGTTCTTTGTTATAACGTTCACCTATCCCTGTTGGCAGTAATCGAGCGACGGACCGAAACTGGATCAGCCAATTAGATGTAAGCGCCTTCAGAAATCCTTGCTGTGGAAACTTGGTCTATCAAAGCAAATGAGGATTGTTTGATGGTAAGAGTCCCGACTCTACAGATCCTTTCAGTAAGCGCCTTCATATTTCTTGCATGTCAACGGCTTGGAGGTTCCGCGAATACTAGCTGCATGTAAAAATTCGACCTAACACTAGGCCAGAAAATCGAAATATAATCAGTGATCGCTTCTGCGTTTACAACAAGTGAATTTAGGTGTTTCATTGCGCAAAAAATGAAAGCACACTTAATACAACCGATTTAATTGCGATTTCAAAGCAAAAACAAGGCACTAGTAAATAAAAGACACCGAATAGCCTGTACCAGATGGAATCAACAATCTTTATTTGATGCAATTTGTCGTTGACTATGGAATTAGAATGAGAAATCGTATGGTGAAGGGTTAAAGTAATGAAAATTCTATTATCCGCACCTAATTATCACACTGGGGAAGTGACGGGCTGCGAGAATCATGAAACCCAATGGTCAGTGTGCTGAACACGTTACCTGGGGATTTTCAGACTAAACACAGCAACAAGAGCCATGAGGAGATTAATAAAGAGATTCTGTGAGACGAATACGAATCGCGACCTCACTCCTCTCGCCAGATGGCATCAGTGTAATGAAACTGAGCAAGCAAGTATATAAAACCAAATGAAACAGGAATACACAAAGTGTATAGAAACGTACTAGTACCTCTCAGGGGTTGTTTTCGAATATCACGCAACAAGCGGCGAATGTTTTCCGAAGATTCGCTACCGGACGAGAGGAGGAGATAATGTAGCAAGGGTTCGTTGTCCTGAAATAGACACGTAAATCACACTTTAACACATAATTGGAGTGGTGATGTAGATGACGGAGTTAGTGTTGTGCGAAAATTCAGCAACCAATACAGCAAGGATTGATAAGTATGAGTTACGCTGACAGGGTGTTTTCAGATCCTTTGACACACCGAATAGCAAAATGGCATGGCAGGTGCCTGCATGGCAGTGGAGGATGGGTCGGGCTATATCGCAGTTAGCTAACAATTCGTGAGGGTCGGCTGCAGTCCTCCATGGCTCAGCTGCATAAGCTGTGGGCTAGTTGGCACGAGCCACTAGCAGTCATGGGTTCGATCCTCCTTAGAGGACCGAAGGATGCGCACCACTGACGAGCCCGAATAGGGCGAAACGACCGTCTGGTGCTTTTCCGGATAGGTAGTTGGTTTATTTGAATTGTCGGCTGACTGAGACGAACAAAAGGACAGAAAGTGTTCGTTACGGTAGTTGTTACCTCAAAATAAGCAAGCCGACATGGGTATAAGTTGAACAGCGAGACAATCACTTTCACTCTCTCATGAGCAATGGCATTATCATCAGTAAAAAGTATAGGCGAGAATGAGTCCAAATGAAGTCTTCAGTATGCTCCGTGAGCCATAATAATGATCGGCAAATGAGAGTCCAATGTTGCTGTTGAACTAGGACCTCCGATAAAACAAATATATAAAGACATTCCAGTGACTTAGAGTGCACCTGGATTGTAAAGTCCAAAGAGAACTTTGAATATTCAGCCATATTGATGTACCTATTGAGTACATAACATCACTTTTTCTCAAACACATCACTTATATCCATACAGAAATCTATACATTTTTGCTTCTAACACGCATTATGAAACACTTTACGTTTTCACTTAGCAATATTGACATATCCTTAACTCCTCAAGATCAAACATTTCAGCCTTAATATCTGCCGATTAGCTAACTGTTACGCTGCACAGTTTGGCCACGCTGCCGCACGTCGTCCTGTTTCTTCAATTTCCTATTAAGAGTGTAAACCTATGCGTAAGTTGATTACTGTATTTAAGTTGTATTACAAAAATATGGTAAAAGAAATTTACGTTTTAATTTCTCTGCCCAGACCGTGTGCATGGTACAGGTATACTAGCCTACACTTTCCTTGCCCCATCTCGTGCGACTACCTAGTCTATGTTTCGTATAGGCTTTACATAGTTGAATAGTGCAATAACGTCTGTTTAGGATTTTGTTGCTGGGGACTGCTGTGCTGCTGTTGATATTACTGCTTCTGAGAAAGTACAGACTGCTGAGACCCGGATTAGATTTCTGGAGTCGGTTCTGACTAAGATGCGTCTGCCGGCTAAGCAATATAATGGTGAGGATTGTTTTGGGCACGATGTTACGTCGGATCCGCCGATTGGTCAACGGACTGATTCTTTGCCTCACGACGTTGTGGCCTTCCTTCTGATGTTGCTCGTCGACTATTTTCTCTAAAACTGATAACTTACGCCAGGCGCATGTCGTCAGTGGTGCGTTTGGATGATCCGTTGACAGTCTCAGGTTCGGTGGTACGAGATCACGGAGCAGACGTCCATTTGGATTCACATGCAGACACTAACAGTTTTCTTGAACCCAAACCCAACTGTTGCGGTCCGAGCACGACGTCCTGTCTCCCTGAGCGAGAGCTGATCACATTAGATGACAATCCAGCCCGCTACTGGATTGTTATGCGGTGCTGTGAAGACAAAATGGCCCGCACATTTTCCGATCCGCAGATGCGACTTTCATATATGATACCATACTGCTGTAGTGAGACCAAAGAAGCCATTGAAAGTTGTTTGATCCTCAAACCTGTTGAAGTTTTCGAAGAAACAATGAGTATTTTGCGCAAGCGCTTCGGACGACCTCATGATACCGAGCACTCACATCAAGGCTTTAACTGATGGACCTAAAATCAAGCCCAATGATTTTGTGGCCCTCTTTTGTTTAGTTGTGGAATTGCGGTGCTGCTACTTAACTCTGAAACCGTTGAGATACGCGGCTGATCTGAACGCATCGCGAACAATTAGCGCTATAGTCAGACAACTGCCAAACCATTTGCAATTGAAGTGGGCCGAGCATGCCGCCAGGTTCATCCGGACGGGAAGAGCCACATTTAGTTGATTTGACGGAGTTCGTGGATGAAACAGCCGACGTCGTCGATGCTTACTAGTCTTTTATCCCATGCATCTTCGGATCAACTGCTAACACTGATAGAAGTAGCGGCTTAAAACCCAGAAGTCGTGCCGCTTACTCAAATGGTAAAACATCCGTAGAACGGCCTCCTCTTAAATGCATTTCATGTGAAGGATATCATTATGTCAAAAACTACCACGAGCGTCTAGAATTCAGTGGTTTTAACTGATGGTGCCAACAATGCATCAAACCAAACCATGAGTTACAAACCTGCTAGTCAAGAAAATATTGTGGATTACGTAACTGTAGGCTACTTCCTCACCTGTCGTTACATGCTGATCAGGGTAAGAAAAACCCCGGGACACTGAATATTGAAGAATCTAATTTTGCTCTAAGTCACGCCGAAAAGCCTGCTGCTTCACTTTGGTGTTTCCCATTCTAGTCTCTGCTCCTGCTAGCACCGTTCAGACGCTAAGCTTGATGGATAATGGGTCAGACACATGGTTAATTGATTTCCACCCGCTTCAAAATATCGGAGTGCAAGGGGCCTTGACGACACTGAACTTATGTAATGTCGATGGTCGATGCGAGATAAAGTCGCAGTCGGTTAGTGTAACCGTTCAATCGATAGATGGTGATGAGGCAGTCCTATTAGACTGTCAGGTCAGTCAATTGTCTCTCTGAAACACATGGAACGGGCACAACAAGAAGTGGTTCCCACAGATGGCCTCACTTATGCGATTAAAGATTTACAGAATCGAAGGGGCAAGACAGAGCTTCTGATGGGAAGTGATAAGCCATATCTGCACTGGGATTTGGATCAGAAGCGCGGGAGTGCTAGCGATCCGTATGCTGTTAGAACCCCATTGGGCTGGATAGAGTTGGGTCCGAGCAGCCTACTCGAGTTCAAGGAAGATCAATCTGTGTCAGCTGCAGTGGATCGCTCATAGAAGATGAATTCGTTTCGCTCCGAAACCACGGACCTCCACTATTTATTCGAACAAATGTATGAAACGAACTTTGATGGCCCCAGATTAGCCATGTCCGTGAACGACAGGCGGGCACACAAACTCATGAAGACTTGCGTTAAAAGAGTCGGTAGTCACTATAAGATCACGTTACCATGACAAGCTGAGAGACCACGGTTACCAGATAATAGACGGGTCGCACTGATGAGACTCGCACATTTAAAGAAGAGACTGTTAAAGAATTCCACGCTACTAGAGGCATACACAAAGGCAATGGAAGAACATGTAGCTAAAGGATACGTTGAAGTGGCGCCATTGCAAGAGGAGCAGATTAAAGAAGAAACCTAGTACCTACCAGGTTACTTAGTATCGCATCCGTGTAAACCGAGTAAAGTACGAGTAGTTTTCGATTATCAGGCCACTTAGCACGGTACCTCTCTCAAATAACAGCTTTTGCAGGGTCCCGATTTGTCAAACAGTTTAGTTATTTCTCTCGCGGTTTAGATCTCGTCCAATCGCGATTACATCCGACACTGAAATCAAGTTTCCCAGTCGTGACATGGATGTATTGCGATTTCTATGGTTGAAGAAAGTAATCTCTGCTTACCACCTACTGTATATCGCATGACAGTAGATCCGTTTGGAGCCAGTTCGTCACCTAGTTGTGCAAGTTTTGCTTTATATCAAGCCAGTACCGAAAATGCAGACGAATTCTAACCAGAGTTTATTAGTCGCAAGAAGTCGTTTCTACATCGACGATTGTCTCTTCAGTGTTGATTCTATTCATGAAGCGGTTGAACTCGTCAAGCATCTTACCCGTATACTGGCCAGTGGAGGATTTCATCTAACAAAATGGATTAGTACTCGAGGCGAGGTTATCGCGCATTTGCCAAAGATGGAACTGAAGATTCCCAGAATACGATATCTGACTGACGAAAACTGCGTTGAAAGTGCTCTTGGTTTAAACTGGGATGTCATCTAGGACCGCATCGACTTCAAGCTGGAAAGTTTTGATAAAGTGTTAACTCGCAGGGCGATACTCTCTTGTCGCTTCCGTCAATGATCCTCTCGGCCGCATCGCACCAGTGTTGTTACCAGCAAAGCCACATTTTACAAAATTTCGTACGAAAGAAAATGGATTGGAATGAACCCCTCTCAATAGAAGATTAACGGCCTTAGAACCAATAGTTATTGAGTACGCATGGACTTAACAGCTGTTCCGTTGAACGATGTGTCACTCCGTTTGGATGCAATACATCTTCCGTACAGTTGCACTGGTCTTCTGATGCAGGTGAGACTGGCTACCATGTTGCTCTGTACTTGTGAGGCGAAAATGTCGAAGGCAGTGTTAATACCTCCCTGATTATTGGAAAGTCCAGAGTTAGTCCTATTCGAACCGTGTCTATACCAAGACTAGAGTCCACCGTTGCTGTAGGTACCGCGCGAATGGCAGCGAAAGTCATTGAGGACAGATTGGATGGCAGTTCTCAAGCTGCTCCGTAGTGTTAACGGGCGTTTTCCGACTTATGTTGCCAACCGAGTTACTATTACACAACAGCATTCTTATCCGAGTCAGTGGCGTTACGCAAACTCAAAGCAAAATCCAGCTGCTATAGCTTCACAAGGACTTGGCATTTCATAAAAGAAAGAAGTAAACACTTGGTTGCACGGTCCGCAATTTCCCGTTCAGACTGAATCCTCGTGGTCCATGCCGCCGGAATGGTTGCGACCTGATAATAGTCATGTCTTGGCCAACTTGGAAGAACATTGGATAAATAACTCAAAAGGCTGCCCTACGTAGACTTCGCAGCGTAAATGGTTCGTCACTCTACTGCGTTTTAAGTCTTAGTTTGTAGCGAAGTTTCTGGAGAGCGCTTCACC